CCCATGAAGGCTAAGGCAAGGCAAAGGCAAGGCAAGGGCTGCCACTATTCACGTGAATAGTGGCAGCCTTGCCTTAGTTGGTTCCACCCTTGGAAGGCTAGGGCAAGGGCAAGAAAAAAAAAAAGATTATGCAACAAAATATAAAATTTTTTAGAAAGTGAATAAAATTGTTATGTATTTATAGGGAAAACATCCATAATATTTTGGTTTTTTTTAAAAAAAAAATTGAATTTTTTTGCTCGCTGACGTCAGCGTGACATGGAGCAGTGGGAAGAATGGGGAGTAGAAGAAGAGGATTCTAAAATTACAATAATGCCATCTCTTTTATGTTTAGAAATCGACCACTGCTATACGCTGAAAGCACTGCCGAACTTCCTATGGAAGACCCCGCTGTGGGAATTGAGCATCGAGGAGGATTGTTCGATTCTTGCACAATGGTTCGAGACGAGATGTGGAATGGAGTGGGTGAAAAAGGCGTCTCAAGTCCAAAACATCAAAATTGATGGCAAATGTGTGAAAAAAGACGGAGTTGGAATGTTGGAGGAGGATTGATGAGATCCACCTCTTGGGCTAAAATGATAATTTTGAACACCTTCCTTGTAATTCTTTAATTTTATTTAAGTTTCAAGTTGCTACCATCTTCAGATTTACTTATTTTCTTAAAATTAGTAACTATGATAATTAACTATGATAATTGTTATCAATAAATACAAAGGAGGAATTTAAATTGGTTATTGCATTTGTTTTCGATTCTTTTCAATTGGTTAACTATATGCTTAATTAATTAGTGTGAAATTTCCATAAATTGTAGGTATAAACACATTCCTTAATGAGTTTTGATCATTCTTTGATCCTTGGGAATAAGGAGAATCAATTCAGCAACTCTTTACCAAAGTCATACAATTAAAATATTGAGGCCAAGGGGAAGCAAATTTCTCCGAATCTCAACAACTCTTCATCCAAGAATCTTCACCTAATTTTGCATATAATATTGCATAACGGCAGCCAGTCCAATTTTTTTAATTTGAAGTTCTCTACTTGCATTGCTTTGCTTTTTGTTTAGTTTTTGGTTTCGGGAAGGCCCCATTTTTCCAGATAATTAAATAAATAAAGGCAAGGGGAAGGTGGCTCCGACCGACTTTCGTTCCTAGTGGTTCAGTGTATTGTTGTTGGTAGTAACATTGGGCACAAAAACGCATAAACAACTTGCAAGTTGGAGAATCAAAAACATTGGGAGAATAAACTCTCAGGCGCCTCTGACCGAAGAAAACTGGACCGTTGGTAGTAACATGGTAAAACGGTCAAACGGTCAAATTTATCTATTCCAAAAGTTTTCCTTCTTCTTTCCGACCTTTTTCTATCCAGTTATATGCCCAATATTTGTTGTCATTTTTTTATGGCCCTGAATATGGAAGAAACTGAACATGAATTGATCAAATTCTTTCTTAATTTCTCCTACAAATGCTTCTTTCTTTTTCTATTTTATGGCCCTAAGGTCCAATCCTTCTTAAATAAATTCTACTATTTCTTCTACTACAAATGCTTCTTTCTTTTTCTATTTTTCAAGCACCTTTCCTTCACTCTGTTCCACAGAATGAGAGTCAACTAAACATTTTACAAATCACCACAGCCATTTGATGAGTTGAAATTCGCCTGCAAAAAAATTCAGCAGAAGCCAGGCTTGCAAGTTATGACAAATGATACTCAGAGGCAATGGCATCATCAATCTTAACACCATTATCTTCTTCCAGAAGCACCCCAACTCCTACCAAAAAAAAGGTCACATTGTCAAAGTTTACTACTAAATGATAGTAAATGATACACGAAGATTGAGGGGATGATAATATTTCTTATTTGCACAAAGATAAGAATAGTAAAATATTACAAGTGGAGGCAATAATGCAGTCACTTGAGCTCATGTTCTAAGACTTTTCTTGTCGAGTCTTTTTTGGTTTTTTTTGTTTATGTACTTAGAAACTTGTCAGAGGCTTCGAAGAAAATGCACAACTACAATTTCCCAAAGGGAAAATAACAAAAGAAGAAGATTATGTGTGAACAATATATTATTTTAAAATTTATTTTACTAGTAAATGTCAAACTCAAAGATCAAGCCAAAGAAGTAGTCCAACGTATGTTCTTTCTAGGAATCATCGTAGAAAAGTACTAGAACAGTAATGTGAGGTTTGTCCTACTTTCTTGAACAATTCATTGCATTATTGTGGATTAAGGTAATGTGAGGTTTGGAAAACACTGGATTAGAAAAACTTTACTACAACAGTCAAAAAAGGAAGAGGTGAGGCTGGTCGTCGGGGTCGACCAAGAAGTCGAAAATCTCATCGTCCATCTCCAGGCAGTTCAAGGCGTGCTCCAGGATGCAGAGGAGAGGCAAGTGAAGGAGGCCAACGTCAAGAATTGGCTATACAATCTGAAAGACGTGTCGTACCAGATAAACGACGTGTTGGATGAGTGGAACACCGCCATTCTCAAGCATCACATGGAGAAGCAAGAAAAAGAAGGTGAGAATAATGATCTTGTCCTTGCTAAGAGGAATAAGGTACGGTTCTCCATTCCCTCCTTCCTCAGAAATATTCCTATCTGTTTTGGTCAAATTGGGATAATTATGCGTCATGACATTGCTAAGAGGATAAAAGAAATCAATGAAAGGCTAACTTGGATAGCCATTTTAAGAAACAACTATAACTTTCAAAGCACAGTTAGAGGCACTGAACAAGTTGAACGATCCAAAACCACTTCCTTTGTCAACGTGTCTACCATAATTGGTCGCGAAGAGGAAAAAAAGAAAATACTTAGCATGTTGGAAAGTGAGAGTGGTCATCAATCTGTGATAGCCATTGTAGGGATGGGAGGGTTGGGCAAGACTGCTTTTGCCCAATCTGTGTACAATGACCAAAAGTTAACAACTCATTTCCACAAGAGAATATGGGTTTGTGTGTCGGACCCTTTTGAAGAGATTAAGATTGCCAAAGCCATCATTGAAGTTCTGAATAAAGACGATACTCGAAAGAACTCAAATGACTTTCAAACTTTGTCAGAATGCATATCTAACAATATTGGTGGTAAAAAGTTTCTCCTCGTCTTAGATGATGTGTGGAATCCCACTGATCTTCAGTGGGAACCATTGAAGGAAGCTTTGCAAAAAGGTGATGCAAATAGTAGAATATTAGTGACCACTCGAAATAACACGGTTGCTATTATGATGGGAGCAACCAATGATCACATGATCAATTTGAATAAGTTGAGCGACCAAGATTGTTTGCGAATATTCCGTAGAATTGCATTCTTTGAGAAAGAAAAAGATGAGTCTAAGTTGTTTGACGAAGATATTAAGAACAAGATTGCAAAAAAGGTTGATGGCTTGCCTCTAGCTGCAAAGACTTTAGCTAGTCTCATGCGATATAAGAAGACAAGAAACGAATGGGTAGCAGTTTTGGAGAGTAAGATGTGGGAATTAGAAGAGGTTGAACAACAGGTTTTTCAATCACTATTACTTAGCTATTATGATTTGACTCCAGCTGTCAGACGGTGTCTTTTATTTTGTGCTGTTTTCCCAAAAGATTATAAATTTGATAGAAATGAGTTGATTGAGTGTTGGATGTCACAAGAATATCTTAGTATGAAAGGAGATAGAGAAAAAGAAAGAATGATAGGTCAACAGTACTTTGATAACTTAGTGATGCGCTCTTTTTTCCAAGACTTTTTTAAAGACAGCGTGAATGATGATATTGAAACGTGCAAAATGCATGATATTGTGCATGACTTTGTACAGTTTCTCACCAAAAATGAATGTTTTATTATGGAGGTGGCGGAAAGTTGCAATGAGAAAAGTATGGTAGTTGACAATAAGGTTCTTCATTTGAACATAATGTCAACATATAATGAGTCGTTTCCTGTTTCAATCTACAATTGCAAAGGATTACGGACTCTGGTAATTTCTACTTCGAAACTTCCTCTGTTACCCTCGGACTCATTTTCAAAATTAAAAAGCATTAGAACATTAAAGTTGAATGACAACTCAATCAAAGAAGTTCCCGAAAGTATTGGTGGACTAGTGCATTTGCGGTATCTCGATTTAAGTGAGAATGAGGAATTGAAAGAATTACCCGATTCTATGGGTAATTTATTCAATCTGGAAACATTGAGTCTCATTTGCTGCTGGGAACTCAGAAAACTACCGTTGAGCATAAGAAAGTTGGTTAACTTAAAGCATCTTTATATGGCGTTGAGCATAAGAAAGTTGGTTAACTTAAAGCATCTTTATATTGAGGGGTGCTCGAATCTAAAAGTACCAAAAGAGATTGGAAGATTAAGAAATCTGCAAATCTTAGATTACTTGTATCTTCAAGACAGTGGCGAGGATGATGAAGGAATTTTCAAGTTAGGGGATTTGGGAAACTTGGAGCAGCTTCAAGGGAGCCTTTGGATTAAAAACTTGAAGTCAGCGAAAGATGCGAGTGAGGCTAAAAATGCAGAGTTGGGGAAGAAGAAGAACCTCCTTCATTTGACTCTATATTTTGGGCACGACAATGTTAGCGATCCGGAGATTGCAAAGGATGAAGAAATACTGAATGGCTTTCAAGTGCATACAAATCTGGAGTCGTTGGCTATCTATTCTTACCACAGTAACACCTTGTGTCCCAGTTGGATGATGAGTTGTCATAATCTGAGAAGGCTTAAATTCTCTCATTTACCATTTTGTGGGGTTTTGGCTCCTCTAGGGAAACTCCGGTCCCTTGAATATTTAGAGATATTTAGGATGAAGAGTGTGAAAAAGGTGGGAGTTGAATTTTTGGGAATAACAGGCGAAACACCACAAACATTAATAAAGTCGTTTCCCAAATTGAAAGAACTCCAATTTATGGTCATGGAGCAGTGGGAAGAATGGGAAGGAGTAGAAGAAGAGGATTCTAAAATTACAATAATGCCATCTCTTTTGAAGTTAGAAATCTATAACTGCATGCAGCTGAAAGCACTGCCAAACTTCCTATGGAAGACCCCGCTGCGGGAATTGAGCATGACGGAGGATTGTTCGAATATTGCACAAGGGTTCGTGACGACATATGGATATGGAACGGAGTGGGCCAAGGCGTCTCAAGTCCAAAACATCACAATTAATAGCAAGTTTGTGAAAAAAGACGGAGTTGGAATGTTGGAGGAGGATTGATGATGGGCTTTGCCTGCCTATCTGATCCACCTCTTGGGCTAAAATGGTAATTTTGAACACCTTCCTTGTAATTCTTTAATTTTATTTAAGTTTCTAATTGCTACCATCTTCAGATTTACTTATTTTCTTTAAATTAGTAACAATGATAATTGTTATCAATAAATACAAAGGAGAAATTTAAATTAGTTATTGCATTTCTTTTCAATTCGTTTCATAAATTGTAGGTTAACTATATGCTTAATTAATTAGTGTGAAATGTCCATAAATTGTAGGTATAAACACATTCCTTAATGAGTTTTGATCATTCTTTGATCCTGTGGAGAATCAACACAGTCCTTGGGTCTTTACCAAGTCGTGTCTCCAGATGCACCTATCTATCTATCTAGTATGTTTCTGATCGCAGGTACGTAATTGGCAATGGCAGCTGCTCTTGTTCTAATTCGTGCAAGTCTCGTCTCTGCTATATATATATCCTCATTTGATTTCAATTCATCATGCTTACCTCCTAGCCCTAGTGTTCTGTTCCAAGGACCTTTAAATTGTTAATCTGTCGATGGTCTTTGCTAGATAAATACAATCATCAATATTCTTTCTATTTTTAGTTTTTATCACTCTTAGTCTTACTAAACTATTTCTATGACGGAAAGCATTGACAGGGAAGAAGAATTGGATCCCAACCAATCTCTGTTAGCAGAATCATCTCAAGCCAAACACCTTCCATCCAGAGTTGGGATAGAGTCCAAGAAACTATGGCGAGTTGTGGGTCCCGCCATGGGTGTTATTACACAGGCCTTTGCCGGCCACCTCGGTGTCGTTGAACTCGCTTCCATTTCCATTGCAAACAATGTCGTCCTCGGCTTCACTTTCGGTCTCCTGGTAATAATCAACCATGCTAAATCTCAAAGTGTGTTCGTGTAATAAATTTTATGCACCATATGTTATTCCGATTTCTAGATTGTGCAAAATAACATGCTGGAAGCTGGAATAGCATGTCCAATCTTTATTTCTTTGTCTCTAACTTTTTTGTAATTTGTTTTTATGACATTTAATTAGCTAGGCATGGCAAGTGCGCTAGAGACACTATGTGGGCAGGCTTTTGGGGCAAAGAGGCACCACATGTTGGGGATATACCTACCTACAAAGGTCATGGATTGTGTTGTTTTTCTGCTGCATTCTGCTGTTGCCCATATACATTTTCGCCTCTCCGATTATGAAACTGTTAGGGCAGGCCGATGACGTGGCAGAGCAAACTGGAGTGGTGTCTTTGTGGCTTCTGCCCTTGCACTTCAGCTATGCGTTTTGTTCCCACTGCAAAGGTTCTTGCAGAGCCAGCTGAAGAACTTTGTGACTTTGTGGATTTCCTTGGTGGTTTTGGAGTTTCATGCCTTGATAAGTTGGCTTTTTGTGTATGTTTTGGACTTTGGGGTTGTGGGTGCTGCTGTTGCTTTGGATATCTCATGGTGGGTTTTATGTTTTGGGCTGCTTGGCTCTGTTACATGTGATGCAAAAAGACGGAGTTGGAATGGAGGATGATTGATGATGGGCTCTGCTTATCTGATCCACCTCTTGGGCTAAAATGGTATTTTTGAACACCTTGTAATTCTTTAATTTTATTTAAGTTTCTAGTTGCTTTGCTACCATCTTCAGATTTACTTATTTTCTTTAAATTAGTACTTATGATAATTAACTATGATAATTGTTATCAATAAATACAAAGGAGGAATTTAAATTAGTTATTGCATTTGTTTTAAATTCTTTTCAATTGGTTAACTATATGCTAATTCATTGATTTTTATAAAAGTTAATTATATATCCAGCTTAATTAGTGTCACTACATTAATTATATATCCAGCTTAATTAGTGTGAAATTTCCATAAATTGTAGGTATAAACACATTCCTTAATGAGTTTTGATCATTCTTTGATCCTTTGGAATAAGGAGAATCAACACAGCAGGTCTTTACCAAGTCGTTTCTCCAGATGCACCTATCTAGTATGTTTCTGTTCGCAGGTGCGTAATCAAGTCGTTTCTAATTCGAGCAAGTCTCGTCTCTGCTATATAAATCCTCATGTGATTTCAATTCATCATGCTTACCTCCTAGTCCTAGTGTTTTATGCCATTTTGTTATGCAGGTTCTCTACTTAGGACAATAACCTGGTGCAAATCATGGATGCATGGATTCTCCTCAGTCCTCACAAGGGTCACCTTTACTTTCTGTGTCTGTGGATCTTTCTGGTTTATTTATCTATTCCGAAAGTTTTCCTTCTTCTTCCCGACCTTTTTCTATCCTGTTATATGCTCAATATTTGTTGTCATTTTTTATGGCCCTGAATATGGAAGAAACTGAACATGAATTGATCAAATTCTTTCAGGTCCGTCAAACTTGACACATCTGAGCTTTAGAAGAAACGATGCAGTTCTTCGCGTGGAGTTAGTAGCTTCGGTTGCTGTAATTAACTTGATCAAGATGGAATTGGACAGAGTCAGAGTGTCATGAGACCCATAGAAGACTTGTTCATCTCCAAGGTATCTTTGCCTCAAATTGTACAAATTGAAAATATCAACTTTATTTTTTCCTAACGCAACAATTCGAGGAACATACATGTTTTGCTTCAAACCTTGTGCGTACATATGTTTAAGGTTCTGTTTTGAAAGTGTAATCACATTCTAATCCCATTGAATTTCATTAACTTGGCCTTGTAGTGTCTAAAACGACTACCATGTTTGTGGAGACTCTATTAAGTGGAAATTACTTCAGTTTCTTAATGCACATGCAAAACATTTCTGCAAGAGCAGCAGATTTGCGAATTGTGCTAAGATCGTTGCATCTCAATTAAGAGGCACAGTGGATAGGATTTTGATTGGTAAGTAAATATTGCAAGATAATATTTTTGGAATTTGAAACCAAACTGGTCTTTCAAGCCTTCTTTATTAAATTAGATTCATGAAATAGTTTTGTCACTCTATTTCTATTCACGGTTTAAAAATCTGAGGTCCTTCGGATTGTGTGCAGAATCAACAGATGCTGTGATAAAGAACGCTATCACCACAACCTGCAGTAGCTATGAGAGCCCTCAACGTGGTCCACCCTTGCCATGAGCTATATGCTTTGAAGGTTGGAATCTCCCTTGCTTTGGATGCTTCACTCTTTGACAGCAGTTCAAATGATTAACACTGATGAGGAGTGCTTGCATCAAAAGGGGTTTTGGTGGATGAGATTCATCGCCTAATTGAGTTATGATGAGACCCCAAAACTACTGTTCAATATGTTCCTAGTAAAGCTAATGGAGCTGCTCACCGGATTGCTCAGTTTTGTCTTCGTGAATCAGCCTATCATTTTGGATGGATGAGTGCCATCCTTGACTACTCATGGATTGCATTCAAGATGATTGTCCTTCTCTGCATTCCTTTCCTTGATTCTATTGTAATTTCTAGGCATGTGTGGTACTCTTTCCTATCCCGAAGTTTTGTCCCATGTGGTTTTCTTTGGGAAGGTTTTAACGAGACCACTTCGATACATGCTGACTCTATTGTTCTTGATTATTTGAATGAATTATCATTTGCCTTTAAAAAAAAAAAGAATTTCAAGTCATTGAGCTTTTAGTTCTGCAAGGTGACACCAAAAGACATTACGAAGGTTCAGATTGGTGTTTATTTAGGGTTTGGACCTTTGTGCCTAAAATAACCCAGTACATAAAATTGGCAATGTATCATTTGATTGACACTAGAGGATCCCGTTTTCTCAATCCCATTCTTGGAATATGTCAAACTTAACAAACCCTCATTCTGAGCCTCTACATTTAGACATCGTACATTTACGACTCTTTAATTTTTAACTTTTGACACCTATCTATTTAATTAATCTAACCCTAACA